ACCCTACCCAGAGAAACAGTGATGCCTGAGATGGATGCAGAGACAATGACGTGGACAGATGGAGTGGCTGGGGACTCTGGACCCAGAAAAGGAGAGGGGCTGTGTGCTGGTGACCAGGGGTCAGGCTTGCGGGGTATACCATTTGGTTGGTTGATGATACATGGCAATGTAACTATATATGATAGGATGAATGTAAAGCTCATGTTCTCCTATGTAAACTATCACATAATTCACATGAATTTTTTTTTTAAATAAGATGCAATGATCATTAATGGTGATTGGAATTCAAAGGTTGGAAACAAAGAGAAAGGATCAGTAATTGGAAAATATGGCATTGGTGATAGAAATGATACAGGAGATTGCATGGTAGAATTCTGCAAAATCAAAGATTTTTTTTCACTACAAATACCTTCTTTAGACAGCATAAGAGACAATTATACACATGGACCTCACCATATGGAATACACAGAAATCAATTGACTACATCTGTGGAAAGAAATGATGGAAAACTTCTATATCATCAGTCAAAACAAGGCCAGGGGCAGACTGTGGAACAGACCATCAATTGCTCATAAGAAAATTCAAACTGAAGCTGAAGAAAATGAAAACAAGTCCATGAGGGTCAAAATATGACCTTGAATATATCCCACCAGAATTTAGAGATCATCTGAAGAACAGATTTGATACATTAAATACTAAAGACCAAAGATCAGAAGAGTTGTGGGATGACATCAAGAACACTATACATGAAGAAAGCAAAAAGTCATTAAGAAGACAAGAAAGAAGGAAAAGATCAAAATGGATGTCAGAAGAGACACGGAAACTTTCTCTCCAGTGTAGAGATGCTAAAGCAAATAGAAGAAATGAGGAGGTCCAAGAGCTGAACAGAAATTTTCAAAGGTCAGCTCAAGAAGATAAAGTCAAATATTACAAAAAAATGTGCAAAGATCTGGAGTCAGAAAACCAAAAAGGAAGAACATGCTCAGCATTTCTCAAGCTGGGAGAACTGAAGAAAAAAATCAAGCCTTGACTTTCATTATTGAAAGATTCTCTGGGCAAATTATTGAATGGTGCAGAAAGCATCAAAAGAAGATGGAAGGAATACACAGAGTTACTGTACCAAAAGGAAATGGTTGATGTTCAAGCATTTCAAGAGGTAGCATATGATCAAGATCCAATGATACTGAAGGAAGAAGTCCAAGGTGCATTGAAGGAATTGGTAAACAAGGCACCATGAATTGATGGAATACAAATTGCCATCATTCAAGAAAGTGAGGCGGCACTGGAGGCACTCACTCATATATGCCAAGAAATTTGGAAGACACCTATCTGGCATACTAATTGGAAGAGACCCATATTCAACCAGTATACTGAGCAAATCATCCGAGAAGCTGGGTTCTATGAAGAAAAACATGGCATCAGGATTGGAGGAAGACTCATTAACAACCTGCCATATGCAGATGATACAACCTTGCTTGATGAAAGTGAAGAGGACTTAAAATATTTACCAATGAAGATCAAAGAGCACAGCCTTCAGTATGGATTGCAGCTCGATGTGAAGAAAACAAAAATCCTCACAACTGGACCAATAAACATTCTTATCAATGGAGAAAAGACTTCATTCTTCTTGGATCAACTATCAACTCCCATGGAAGCAGCAGTCAAGAAATCAAACAACGTATTGCATTAGGCAAATCTGCTGCACAAGGCCTTTTTAAAGTGTTGAAGAGCAAAGATGTCAGCTTGAGGACTAAGGTGCACCTACCTGACCCAAGCCATGGTATTTTCAATAACCTCACATGCATGCAAAAGCTGGACAGTGAAAAAGGAAGACCGTAGAAGAATTGATGCTTTTGAGTTATGGTGTTGAAGGCGAGAATATTGAAAGTACCATGGGCTGCCAAAAAACCACAGATCTGTTTTGGAAGAAGTGCAGTCAGAGTGCTCCTTGGAGGCCAGGATGGCCAAACTTCGTCTCTGATACTTAGGACATACTGTCAAGAGGGACCAGCCACTGGAGAAAGGATATCATATTTGGTAAGGTGGAGGGTCAGAGAGAAAGAGGAAGACCCCCAGCAAGATGGATTGGCAAAGTAGCAGCATCAGTGGGCTCAAGCGTGGCAACAATAGTGAGGTTGGCCAAGGACCAGGTAGTGTTTCATTCTGTTGTGTATAGGGTTGCTATGAGTCAGTACTGACTCAATGGTATGTAACAACAACATAAAGGGAACGATAGTTCAGAAGAACTAGCAATGAAGGAGGAATGGTGCCAGTAAACACAGAGAGAAAGTAATGTTATATCGTGGGGATTGCAAACAATAACATGAAGCAAAATGTGTATGATTTGTTGAATGGAGAACTGATATGTTCCCAAAATCTTTACTCAATTTACAATTAAAAGTTTTTTTAAAGAGGATTTTTAAATGATTTATCATCAATTACATATATTCTATTCAAACAGAACTTGAATTTAAGCTAACTGAAGGAAAACAATCACAGACTGTTTTATTTCAAATTAGTTCCATACAAGGTAGAGCAAGATGTAAGGAAATACTAACACCTCTCTGTAAGTAGATAACTTCCTTATTATAAACAAATCCAAAAAATTACTTCATTTAATGTTTGTTCTTTTGCCACACTTATGTGGAAAGCAATTTTCTCTTTTTTCCTTGATTTCTTTTTACAGAGAAGTGCATGGCATCTCACACACACACATCAATGAGTTCTCAAGGATACTCATCCTTACAGCCTTTCTTGTTGGATTAAAGTCTTCAACAGTCTGTTTAGAATCTCATCAGAAGGAGACATTACATTGTCTCATAGTGTTCCCTTCCAGTTCATTGTGTAATCCCCATCTTCTGGAAAATTCTGAGAGCAGATAACTTTTCAGTGCATTAATGTGCTATTCACAAAAACAAAATCTTGTCCATTTTAACCAGGAGAGAAATTCATATAACTAATTCCAACTTTCTGCCTACCCAACGAGCGCTGCCAGTTAATGTGGTAAACTGCAATATCGGTTTGGGCCGTTAAGGCAGGCCGTTTCAATTTACCAGCTGCTCCTTGGAAACCCTGTACAGGGTCACTATGAGTCAGATCCCGACTTGGCACTTAGCAACAAGCAACATAATTCACGTGACATGTGAACTACTTACTAAGAATCCTTCTACAGGAGCTAGATCGGTGTGGGTTTCAGTGCCTACATAAGCCACTATTCAGAAATCATTGATTTCTTATGAATACTGTAAAAAATAAACCAACAACCATTCTTCCCATAACCCTTTATTAGTTGGGTTCAATAATTCATTAACAATGTCCACACAGAACTCAGACACCATACTTCTGGGGCTTTTTAGGGAAGTTAACAGGGTACAATACAGAATCAGAAGATGTCCAGAGCACAGTTGTTCTAGTCAGCTACCGATAAATGCCTACAGGACTCACCACTCCACCATATACCTCAGCCTAAAGGCACTTTGTCAGCTAACTTAGCTTCCCTACTTAAGTGCCCGGAGGGACCCCACCCACAAGCAAGTCTCCTGCTCAAAGTCACTCAGCTTTGTTTGTATATACTTATATATGGAGTCCTGGTATGGTGCTGAGGGTTAATGCGCTGGACTGCAATGTTGGTTTGAACCACAAGGTTGGCGGTTCAAGCTCATCAGTTGCTCCTCAGAAACCCTATACAGGGTCTCTAGGAGTTGGAACCAACAGGGAGGAGACACAACTCAGAAAAGGAGGTGAGAATGGTTGCAAAACTTTAAAAGTGTAATCAACGTCACCAAATTGTACCTATGTGTGTGGCACTGTGGGTTAATGCGCTGGACTGCGAGGTTGGTTTGAACCACAAGGTTAGCAGTTCAAGCTCAGCAGCTGCTCCTTGGAAACTCTATACAGGGTCTCTATGGGTCAGAACCTACTCGACAGTACTTAACAAAAACAATATAGAAATTATTGAATTGATATATGTTTTGCTGTGTACATATCAATATCAACAACATAACTTTTTTTTTTTTAATTGAAGATTAAGAACCAACAGACTGTGAATCTTTGGACACAGGTTGGGCTGATGCAGAACAAATACAGGCAAGGACACCTCCTGTCCATCCTTGCATGGAGAACAGCGGTGTTCTGACTCCCTGAGAACAAAAACTTCAAGATTAGAGAGTCACCATCTATGACACAGACACTGGAGATACCATTATGGGCAGGGGGGTATTGTATTTTGTCACCAAGTAGAGGCTCAGGTAAACAATGTGGAGAAGAACTAAGAACAAAGCACAGGGCATGTATCCAATGTTTATACTAATTGACAGATGTGTTCTTAGTATGTGTTCATAGAAATTCCTGAGACACAACCCTGGGAACCACTAGAAGAGTTGAGGAATACCTTGAGTGGGTATTTAATAGGAAGAGCAGTGACGATTTAAACTACCATAATTTGATCATTAAAAATAACCATCATCTAAATATTGAATCCTGTGATGACATACGTTCTAACTTGTGTGAGTGTAAAGGGTATTAATGCTGATGTCTGAAACTCACTTCCTCAAGTATAAAAAATTGGGCGGCTTGAAGGATGAACTGGTGGGTGTATAAATGGATGATCATACATATCTGATTGTATAAATACAATATATCAGCCAGTGTATAATCTAGGTATGAGGAGTTCACAAAACATATTCTATATGGTGGAAATCTTTCATATGAAAATTTGCAAAAAAAATATATAATCTTGCTTTATAATCACAATATTACACAGGATTTCATTTCAGACCCTTTAGTCACTTGTACTCAGAGCCTCAGGTCTCGCTCCAGTCTCTTTTGGGGCTGCCTCTTCTTTTTCTTCCTTCCTCTCTCTGGAGCTAAAGATGATTCTCTTTTATATCTTGTATCATGGCATATTCATTTCAATGTTGAGTATGCTATAAATAATGAGCATGCAGGATGCTGACGTTACAAAACAGGTGATTCTCAAAATTTTCCAAAGAGAGAGATGGTTAAGACAACTTGACTCTACTGAGAATTTTCCTCAGGGCCTCCTTCACCTCCTTGTTCCTCAGGCTGTAGATAAGGGGGTTCAACATGGGGATCACTGTTGTGTAGAACACAGACACCACTCGGTCCTTCTCTGAGGACTGACCAGAATTATCTCGTAGATACATGAAGATGAGAGTGCCGAAGAAGAGTGACACGGCAGTGAGGTGAGAAGCACAGGTAGAGAAAGTCTTGGCCCTACCACCGGCTGAGGGAATTCTTAAAATGGCCATGATAATGAACAGATAGGATACCAAGATCACCACCATGCAGGCAGGGATGACAAAAATGGCGAACACTATAATGACCACCTCCTGAGTATAACTATCCCCACAAGTCAGCTTTAAGAGAGGAGGGAGGTCACAGAAAATGAAGTCGATCTTGTTGGTTGCACAGAAGGAGAGAGTGAATGCTGAGACTGTCCGTACCAAGGCACTGCAAAGGCCAGCAACATAAGCCCCAGTCACAAAACCCCAACAGGCCTTCTGTGTCATGATGGTGACATAAAGCAAGGGTTGGCACACAGCCACATAGCGGTCATAGGCCATGAGGGCCAGGAGGTAACAGTCAATGGAACCAAAGAAGGTGAACAGGAAGAACTGAGCAGCACATCGTGTGTAGGACAAAACTGCTCCATGCGCCAACAATACAGCCAACATCTGAGGAACAGTGACAGACGAATAGCAGATGTCCATGAAGGAGAGGTGACGCAGAAGGAAGTACATTGGGGTTTGAAGCCTGCAATCTATGCAGATCAGGATGATCATCCCCATGTTCCCCAACAAGGTGACAAGATAAATAAATAGAAACAGGAGGAAGAGAGGGAGTCCCCATTCAGGACACTCTGTGAATGCGATAAGGAGGAATTCAGTCACTAAGGTGAGGTTCTTCTCTGCCATTAAGCTTGTGGTACATGAGAGGACTAGGATGAGAAGCAAGTTAGGAAGTTATGAATCAAAATTAACTATTTCTAGGTCACATTTACTGAACATATAGACAAATTATAATGTACTTGGTGGGTCTTCTCAGATGACTGACCATAGCTCCTACCTTCAAGAGAGTTCATAGAAGGCAGGACATAGAATCATCATAATATTCAAGGGGGCTTCAAAAGGTTGGTAGAAAAATGAAATTGAAGGACAATGGATTTTTTCCTTGAACTTTTGAAGCCCTCTCATATGTCAAGAAAACCAATACGGGTAAACATATTTTAAAACACAAACTCATATTCTCCCACCCTAATTTGTAACCAGTTCCTGGAAGTCAGATAACCATTCTGAGCCAAAATATCCCTGTTGCCTCATTGGAGGTTGATTCATGGGCTTAAATTTATTCCCACTCATGAAGACCCCCATGAGGTAGGAGAATATGAACTTGCACTCAAATGTTTGCCTATATTGATTTTCTTGACATACAAAGATGCTTCAAGAAGTTGGTAGAAAAGCTCATGAATTTTTTTCCATGAATTTTTGAATTCTCCTCATCTGTCAAGAAAACCAGTGTTGTTATTGTTGTTAAGTGCTGTGGTATCGGTTCTGACTCATAGCACACCTATATAGGGTTTTCCAGGGCTTGTAAATCTTTATGGGAGCAGAAAGACTCATCTTTCTTCCACAAGAAAACCAATACAGGTAAACATTCTCATATTCTCCCACCTTTATTTGTAACCAGTCACTGGATGTAAGATAACTATTCTGAGGTAAACATGTCCATGTTACTTCAACAGAAATTGATTCATGGGTTTGACATGATTCCAACTCATAGAGATTTCATGCATTAGAGATTAAAACTGCTCCACAGGGTTTTCTTGGCTGTAATCTTCTTGGAATTCATTCACTAGCCTTTCTTCTGCAGAGCCACTGGGTGGGTTTGAACTGACAATTGTTAGGTTAGCAGCCTACTGAAATCCACTTGTGCCATTCAGGGATCCTCCCAAAACCACAGCTCCTCCCTTACTTCAAACCCTCTTCATCTCTTGCTTGGATTAAACCAACAGCCTTGTAGCTAATCACTGTCTCCATTCAGACTTGCTTTTTGCCAATTCTTGCTCATCACTGTGACCAAAGTGATGTGCCTAAGATTTTAATGTGATCACGTCTCACATCCCTGTTAAAAATCATGCCATGATACCCCATCTACAATAGGATAGTATTTAGATTTCTTAGTATTTCAGAGAACAACCCCCATAAGTTCCCCCCTGCTCCATTCCTCATGCCCCTTTCTAACTTCTCATTCTTCACACCCACAACCACACCTCACCCTCCCACTCTTCTCTCCAAACTAAAGAACAAGCCAGTTGTTGAGGAATTCCTTCCAATTCATGGTGTCCTCGTGTGTGCTAGAGTAGAACTGTCCTCAATAGGATTTCAATAGCTGACTATTTTAAAAGTAAATTTACTTTCTTCCAAAGCATCTTCAGGTCGACTAGTACCACAACCCTTTCTATTAGCAGTTAAGCACATTAACTGTCTGCCACTCAGAGACTCCACTCTTGTCTCCAGCCACACTGAACTGTCCACAGCTTCTCTAGTTCCCACATGTTCTGTCAAGTCTTTGTGTGTGCTCCATGGGCCCCGCCCCTTTTGCCCAGAATGCATTACTTTTCCCATTCCTGGGGTCCTGCCTAACTCCCATGCCACCTTCAAGCCTCAACTCGGAAAGCACTTCCTACAAGAAGACTCTCCTGAGCCTGCCTGCCCACTGAGGGTTAAGTGCCCATGGAGCACCTCTCCGTATCAGACTGTGAGCTCAGCACACACTAAGGGCTCAGTACGTTTTTGTGGGATAAATAATATTGTCAAATAAGATACAAAGCACCTCTCAAAGAGAAACCGTACAAATGTTCAGGGGTTTAATTTTTACAAGACAGTTTTAAAACAGAAAATGTTAAGTGACATGTAATATCTCACTAAAATCATTGAATATTCTTGGGTAAGGAGCTCTGGTAATGTAGTGGCTACAATTCAGGCTGCTAACCTGAAGGTCAGCAGTTCAAAACTACCAGTGCTTCTGCAGGAGAAAGATGAGGCTTTCTGCTCCTGTAAAGATTTACAGCCTCAGAAAGCCTGTGCAGGGTCACTATGAGTCGGAACCGACTCCACGGTACTTAACAACAAACACTTCTATTCTTTACCTAGCTATGTGCTTATTTAACAGAAAGCTTCTGTCTTAATTGTTATTGTTGTTAAATGCTGTGGACTTTGTTCCAATTCATAATGACCTTGTATAGGATTTCCAAGGAGCGACTGGTGTGTTTGAACTGCCAACCTTGTGGTTAGCAGTCCAGTGCTTATCCTGCAGAGCCACATCAGCTGTCTTAATTATTGTTGTTGTTGTTGTTAGGTGTCATTGAGTCAGTACAACTGTCTTAATTAGAGAAACTTAATTTATCATGAATAGATTTGATAAGAAACAGCATGTTAACTTAATAACAATGATAACACGCGATATTGTTGCTAGCTGTCTTGAGTTGATTCTGACTCATAATGAGCCCATGTGTTAGAGTAGAATTATACTCCATAGAGCTCTTAAGGCCTTTTGGAAGCCAATTATCTGACATGTCTTCTGAGGAGTGTCTGAGGGTGGTTCAAACCACCCTTTTAACTAGTAGTCAAGCATTTAGCTAGGGACTCCTAGGAAACTCATACAAAAGCACTTACTAGGTTCTACACAGTATTCAGGAGTCCTGGGGCGATGCTGTAGGATAAGCACTGAACAGGAAGGGCTGTTTGAACTGCAAGGTTCGTTGCTCAAACTCACCAGGCACTCCTTAGAAACCCTATACAGGGTCTCTATGAGTCACAATCAACTCAAGAACACTTAACAACAACAGACAATGTTCTAAGTGGTTCATATACTGACTTATTTTATCCCCATAACCACCATATTAAGTAGGAACTTAATTTTACTTCCTTTACAGATGAGGAAACTGAGACAGAAAAGAAAGAGTTTTAAGTAACCTCCCCAAGCCTGCACAGCTCATAAATGGTGGTACTGACATTGGAACCAAAATGTACTCTGAAGCTACTTATCCCAGGATTTTACATCCATCGTGAGCTGTTCTAACAGCCTCCAACCAGGAAGGGCCCACCATTAAGTAAGCAAACATAAATACCAGCACTACAGTCTATTAATAGCTGAAGGGTGATGGAGTCTTTCAAGCTAATGGATAGAAAGTCATTTGGCAGAGTTGCAGTGCAGCAGGATAGAGAAAATATTAGATCATCTTTTGAGATTAGATTTTGGCAGTTAGACTTCAAACTATTGAAGGAAATGATCAATAAGAGAAATTTCCTCGGGTGGGTATGAATTGGTCATACACAAAAGTTCCTCACCTGAATTACATCTCACCTTTACCTGACCAGTCCTCTTCTCTCTTTATCCACTGTTGATCTTTTGTCTCTAAAAGATTCTTTCTCTTGTACAGCCTGATAATGCATCCTAAGGATGTAGTGAAGAAGCCCTGTGCTAAGCAGAAGATGACCTAGGCGGTTTTGTACTCAGTGATGATGCTGAGCAAATTGCTTAATCTCTAGGACCTCAGTGTCCTTCCCATTCTCCTACACTCTCCTCACAAGAAAACAGCAAATCAACATGGATCAATAATGCCTTCGCTGCCTGAGTGTCTGTCCCTGGATACTATGATCCTCAAGAACCTTGCCAGTTCAATCACGGTTTCTCTTCTCTCTCATCTCCTAGTCTATTTCCATAATCTGTTAAATCTGGTCTTTGTTTAGTCCCAGACTAGTATAGCAGATACTAAAGAACAGTGTCTTCCTATGGGCTCCAGGCTTCAATTCAAATCTCTTTTGGAGAAGATACTAATAGTTCTATGAGGTACCCAATTAATGGCTAATATGTATCTCTAAGGAAAGGCAATTATTGTTCATGTGAGTTCCTAACAACACATCCGGTACCTGTAATGTTCCTCTTAGTCCCGGTCCCCAAAGCCCCACCCCATATTCATGTCTAAAAGGTCTGACGCCCAGTTCTGCATGCTCCCTCCTGGAGTTAGGTGTCTCCAGCTTTCATTTCTCCAATCAGGATACTATCAGGCACTGTGCCCAGTACCACTCTCACCAGTGTGATCCCACCCAAAAGAAGGGGCTTTGTAACCACAACACTTTTTCCACATTATTCAGAAAGGGAACACTGGGCATAGAAACCTCAACAAGACACACTGCATCGTCTATGTTTACCCCCACCTTGGGCGTCAGGTGTTTGATTAAGTGTCTCCCTTGTTTTTCTTTAAACACAAATGAAACCATAGGGATATCAAAAGCCTAGGATATTGCCCAGAGGATAAATTGGCAAGTTCTTATTGGCATGGTTTTTGCTAGCTCTCTGCATCTTTGACACTTAAGCCTTTTTTTTTTTGAAACTTTTTATTGAGAAATGAGTGAAGGTTTGCAGACAAAATCATCCATTTTACATTCGGCAAGTCACATACTTTGTTTCATTTCAATGGTTGTAATCCCCTTCACGAAAAAACAATTATCCCACTTCCTCCCTGTGGTTCTTATTTATCATTCCACCCTCCTTCCCATCCCTTCTCAACTATGTCCATCCATAAATGGTTGCCCTTTTGAACTTGAATAGTTCACTATTCCATGGTGAGCATACCTTACCAGTGCTGTTCCCCTCTATATATCTATCTACTGCTTGGCTGAAAATTGGGCCACGAGGCTGAGTTCCATTCCAGACCTGAAGCATGGCCAAGGGTTGTAGTTTTGGAGTTCTTCCTGTCTCTTTCTGACTAGTAAACCCAGTCTATTTTTTAGAGTTTTGCTCAACATTTTTTCCCATTCTATCTTTTGTGATCCCTTTCAGAGCAGTTAGTACTGGTATTCAGGCACATCTAGTTCCCCTGGTCTCAGAGTCGAGAACAATGATGTTCACA